CATAGTATTTACGATACAGTAAAATATGCCCGCTACCACAATGTCCAGCTAGCTTATCCTGCCTTTTCCTGAGAATTGTACCCACAATCCTCTGCATCAGGTACACATACATCAAGAGAGGCAGAGTTCAGGGCACAATCTTGAGAATGTGATGATTTCATAAGGGCAGAAAGATCTAAACACAGACTGGAGCAGTTCAAAGGATTTTTTACAACATGGAAATTTGGAAAAGGGGTTACCTTCAGAGCTACAAGGCTCACAGATGACGGGGCTGGCAGGGAAGAAATCCAAGGTTTCTGAATCAAAGTCGAATTAAGTCGAAGTGGGTACTGGGTAAATCCTACTGAGCAGACAACACACCAGGAGCTTCCTGGAGACGAGAAGTTGCCTTTTTTCTGTCCCTGTCCTAGCTTCAAACGTGACCGCTAGAGAGGGCAGAACAACCTAGTGAAAATCAAGGGGAGAAACTGTTTCTTAAATATTCCAGGTGAGTGGTTTGCTGGTAACCGCAAATCCAGAGGCATCTACAAATGACTGAGCACAGAAGAGGAGAGATGTAGGGAGGGAGAAACAGAGGGTGGGGAGAAGGATTACAACCAAAAACCTCGAGCATCATGCATGAATGCTGGTACAGATGTTGCATAACTGCCATGTGGGGTGGCGTAATAAGAGGCACTGGGTCTGGGGAAGGCTGTGGGCTCAGGGTAAGTAGGCATCGTCTTGATGGGGTGAACAGCTCCACATCCAAAATAACCTCTGCCATCAGCTAAGTAGATGGGGGAAGTTACAGCTGCAGCTTTTAGGGCGAGAGACTCCTGAGAGTCGCAGCTGAAGCTTCTCTTTGTTCCAGCTTGTTTGGACGGTGTATAATAAGGCGGCTGTTCCACTCTGAGAGGAACACCAGAGAGAGGAGAAGCTCCGGGGTTCTGAGCAGAGTGTTCATCAGTTTTTAGGAGGGAATCAATGGAGAAAGGACCTCTGAACTTCACCTCACGCTGGATACGAACAGATCTGCGAGCTTCAAGTTCATGGGAGCTGGGAGTTGCGCAATGCTGCGATTGTTTGCTCAGGTTCTCCTTTTGCATCTTGCAGGCCAGATCGGGGAAGAGCTGCAGGATGCCTCTGAAGTGCCGGCGCATCATCTTCGCTGTGATCTGAGTCAAGTCCAACTTCCAGTAGTTTCTCTTACTATTGAGTGAATATGGCACAATTGGAACCTGAAAAAAATATCTCAGTCAACTGAACAGAAACTTGCTTCTCGAAGTAGTTCTTACAACATCATTTATTAAATATGTAAAATCTTACCTTGACAAAACATTTGTTTGTTGATAAACAAACTCTGACGTTGTTCTCAATAGATTTTTGATCCTCAGAGAAGAACAGGGTCAGCTTGTCCATCAGCTGCACATACATCACAATGCAGGTTAGTGCTTGACATGTGAAAGACATTACTGTTGAGCATAGCAATTTCAAATCCCCACTATCTTATGTTTTTAGATTCTCCTAATGAGGTATTTAGAAAAAAAAAGACCCTTCCTGTCTGACTGATTGGGAGGGAAAAAAAGCCAATCCACGACCTCTCGTCTGTTTTATTTACATGCAGCTTTATTGCTACTCTTTGCCTATTTCCAGTTCTACTTTCATTTTGAAGCAAACAAATTTCTGGTCTAGTTTCTTGCCATTGCACTCTCTTTTTTATAGCATTTCCTACTGCTGGTTGCAAGCAACCACCCTTCTGTTTCCTGCTTACATCAGCACACACAGGCCGTGTACAGCAGCAATCAACATGATAGCGAAGAAAAAAAGGGTGCAGAGTGCAAATAGCTTTGTAATTCTGAATCTTTGTTACCTGAGTAAAGGTGAGCATCTTGTCTGGAGCATCATGAAGAACAATGGCAATCTTAGCCAGGTAGGTGGTGGTGTTGCTGAGCAAAGCCTTCTGAGCACTGCTGGCCGGATCCGAGAGAGACAACGGACTGCCCAAGTTCCCTGTCTGGTTCTCCATATCGTTTGCTGGAGAGTAAAGCTCTGCACAGGAGAGTGTTGTCGCAGTCCTCACTTGGTGATGATGTGTCCCTGAAGTGGTCAGCCCAGGCTATATGTCTTGCTGGAACAATTCATTAGGGTGTTCCTGACGATCGCCTTTTCATGTGAAGATGAGTCGTTAATGTTGGAGGAGCAGCCACTGCGGTAATCCTAAATGTGAATAAGGCCATCAGGTTGTCCATGTTCATGCTTTAGGAGATTTCTTAATTTTCTTACTGATTTGAGGCCTTCTTGTTCAAGACATCAAGTAGAGACCGTCTATGATGGATGTTTGAATCAAAGTTTGCTGAAGGCTACATCTTTAGAGGCTTAAACAACCCTCCTCGTTAACAAATAGAAAAATCACTGGAAGACCGAGGCTGTGTGGGTGAGGTGATATCGCTGTCACTGCTATTCATTAGTTAAAATGGCTCACTATCACAAACAGTGTGTCTAATTTGAATGTGACTAGAAAGAGTATAAAGTTACATTCCAGCGGTTTACGACTCGGATGGGAAGAAAGTCTGGGCCTCTGACACATTTAGGTCAGTGCACTCAAAAGGTTTCTTCAGCACTAACACAGTTTTTATTTCTACATGAATTCATGTTAGATGACAAAGATTATGTTAACACTATTAAATAACTTTTCCTAATACTAATAATTATAACAGTCATCTGCTTATCCCTATTGTCACTGTGTGAGAGGGGTGCTACTTCCAGGGCAGTTTCCATACCTTTACAGAGCCGAGACAAGGAGACAGACAACATTTCACACTATTTTTCACAAATCTTGAATTAACAAATAACCTATTATACATGTCAACACAACACAGACTGCCTTAAGGTTTTAACCTGGAAGCTTCCCAACATGTGGCAACAGTGCTAAATGGTGCACTGCTGTGCAATCCATTCAATTTATTATCTTTGACATTTAGAATATTATCTAATATAATATTTCTCTCTCCTCCTGTCATTGTCCCCAAACCTCATCACCATAGAGACTACACCATAGAAACAAAAGTTAAAACAAATTAAACATTCAAAATTCACAAAGAAAGACTCATAATACCCCGAACTACACCTAAATAAATTAAAGGTGGAGTATTAAAAATTATGTTACAGTCAGTAGATGCAGACTGTGTGGAGTGGAGAATAGAGGACGCAAATACAGACAAAACAAAGTGTAGAAACAAACTTAAAATTAACTGAAAGCGAGCCATTTATTAAAGGCTGGTTTTAGCTGCATGAAACAAGTTGCAAAGGCAAAACTGAACACTTAGTTCACCCAGTTTAGGTTAAGGCTAAACATAAAAAACCATGAACATGGAAATCCTGACAGGAAAAACCTGAAATGTGACGACTTAGCATGAATACATGAAAACCCTGGAGAGCATGGCAGAATAGCAGGACAAACAGACAAGGACTAAATACACACATTTAGGTGATCAGGGGAAGTGGAAACACGGTGGAAACAGCTGATTAGCTTGAACATAATGATGCCACAGTGGAAGTGAAACTAGAAACTGAACATGGAAACACCAGATTCTTCATAATAAAACAGGAAACATAACGAGAGGCAGATAACATGGAACACGCAGACATGAAACACATGGCAGACTAAAACATGCACTATAAACACACAGAGGAAACAACGGTACTGGAGATGAGACAGACATACGGTAACCAAAACAGAACATAGCTGCGGAAAAACACACATGACGGGCGGAAAGGAGCACGAGGGAAAACATGTAAACAAGAGGAGAAGATGGGAGACAACGACATTACTGAAACACAGGAAGGGCACGGAAGACATAAACACAAGAGGTGAAGACACAAGGAGAATCTAATAGATAATAAACTAGAACAGGGCAAGGAAGGCAAAATAGAAATGAGCTTAGATTACTAAATGAGACTTATACATAAACAATGAATATCAAAATATAAGAAAACGTAATACACTGGGTCAAATGACCCAGGACCGTGACACAGTCTAAGTTTGTGTTAATATGATTTAATAATTGATCAACACTGTGATTTACTTGGCCTTTCAGAGACCTTGTAATAGCTGGATGAATATATGTTAGTTGAAATTAATCAACACCCCAGAAACAGCACTAATAAGATAAGATAAGATAAGATAACCTTTATTAGTCCCACACGTGGGAAATAAAGGTTACAAGTTATATTCCTATGGGCTTTAACAGTGGACTCAACTTTGTGCTTGTCCTGTTAGACCTCAGTGCAGCACTTGATTCCACCAATCACAAAGATTTGGTGCAGCGATTAGGAAACACTGTGGGTGTTAAAAGAAATGCGGTAGTCACAAAGTTCCCCAGAGTTTTGTCCTTTTTAGCTTCTTTCTGTTATTGCTATAATAAATAAAGCTACATTTAATTGAATATGGTAAAAGTAGCTCCTGGATAAACATTTTCACCTAAATTCAGATCTAAATTCAGTGTATATTTATTCAAATTAACCACAATCAGCACCTTGGCTGGGTTGTGTGGACAAGGATGTATGACTATGAAATACCTGAAACAATGACCTCAGGTTATACCAGTGAAGATGAGTCTGTCTTAAAAACCTTCTTTGTTATTAATAAAGGAATAACTCTAAGAAATGTCATGAATTAGTCAGCTGAGAATTTGCACTTTGTATTAGTAGAAACCCTTTTTTATTGCTCTTTCACAACAGAAGGACATATTTTATTGCCTCTTATCGTTTCCCCCAATGCTTCAGTCCCTCTCTGAATAGCTGTATCAGAATTGGTCTGTGTATGATGCTGTCCTTCATGTAATTGTGACTGTTTCAGTCTAACCTAAGCTTGTTTTCTCCAAATTATCTTTTTTTATCTTTTCTAAAATACATGTGGAAATCTTGAGGGTCAGCAGGGTTTTACAGATCCCTTGGTGAGTCTGTTCCTTGGACCAGACCCCAGAGCAGCTGAATAGCACACCTTTAATCAGAGACAAGTGAAAACACATGGGTCAGGGTTGCAGCCTTACAACCATTCACCAGAGTAAAGCTGTAATCCTGCTTTCAGTGCAGGTTATGAGTGGAGGAATCTGAAAAGGGGTCGTTGATTTAAATAACGACTGTGGAGCAAAAGGCTGCTGGTTTGACTTTAAATGAGAGGTGCAGTAAGTTGTACTGTTAACATGTGAATAGATTGCTTATTGGTTTGACAACTTTACTCGATTATGTATTCTGTGTGGTGTGTCTCAAATCAACGTTAGAAACTAAACTAAGTGTGAGGGGAAATGACTATAGGTGAGGGGAAGATTTTCTGAAATTAACCTTCAGCTGCTGGAAGGCTGTTCCTCTACGTTGAAACAACTTTCAAAGTGAGTTCTGTGCTGCTAGGCTTGTATTTAATTAAAAGGTTGGCTACTTCTGAGGCGACGCAACGTGGCGAAGACAAAAAGAGTGTTACAATCTAACCAGAGCAGTTCACAATTTAATTTACTCAACACATTTTTGCCAGGTTTTAAGTTCATGTTACTGGACACTTAAGTCATTGCAAAATTAAACATTCCTCAAAACAAGACAAATTACTTCAAGTTAGTTTTTTCTTATCAAGAAGAATTTGAGTTATTTGCACAATTTCAGTGCTACACTAATGGCAAAAAATTGTTTTCCTTTTAGTCTAAGTTTGCTGATTTGGTTGAGGTCTGAAGTTTTAACAGTTCTGTAAATGAAAAGTTTAATATTAAATGTTTATGAATGTTTCAATGAAGTTTAATAAACTTCATTGAAACATTCAGCATGGAGCCAGACTCCAGCACTTGTGGACCTGGTTTATCATCTTATAAAAACATGCTCATTTGCCTGAAGTTGTCCACCCTGAAATCCCCTTTTTGTTCCAGAGCTGACCGCTTCAGGTGCAAACTGGTAAAGTTTATGAAGACACTGAAGGGGACTCGACTTGACTCTCCAAAGAAGATGCAGGACAAAGATGAGAAGTCTGGAGATGACAAATCTCTGACTGATCTATCTAACCCTCTGAGTGCGTTCTGTAGCAAAAATACCACTTACCTGGCTAAGCTTGCCATCCTTCTCCAGTATTCTCCACATAAGATGCTGACTTTTACTCAGGTAAGAAATAAGTGTGGTGTTTATTGTTGCTGCTGTTATGATAAATGCAAACACCCAATATGAAACACAAGTTTCCATTTTAAAGCCTTCCACTTGATGTTCTTATAGATGAAAAACAAGATTTCAGTGATTGATAAGGATGAAAGGAATGCTTACAACAACATCAGTTGGTATTTAACAGGTTACAAATGTTTTGTCAAGGTAAGCATCTTTTCCAAAATTTATTTAAATCAAACACACAAAGGGCTGTAAATAAAACTCATGTGTACTGTTTGCTTTTCAGATTCTAGTTCCGGGCACAATGAATCGTGAGCTTGTGTACTGGATGCTGGACTGCAGGGAGATAACAACAGAGATGGTGCATGAACACTTCTTGGAAATTCTCCATCTCTTCCCTGTTCTGGCGTCCAGACTGGAGACCAAGAACCTGAGCTGTCCGCCTAGGCCTCTCCACTTTCTAGAGCCCGCACCACGCAGTACTGTTCAGATCAAACCTGAGGTGAAGTTTAATGGCCCTTTCTCTATTGACTCAATCCTGAAGAGAGACTGCACCTCTGCTCAAGCCTACACTCCCACACTCAGTCTGCCAGTCCGGGTGGAGCACTTTACTCAGCCTACACAGCGACGAACTGGGACAAAAAGGTGCTTCGGCTGGGACACCGATCAGCATCTCATCCTACAAGCTTCAGCTGGAAGTTCTCCTGTCTGCACGGGAGGGAGCAGCACACACCACTGGGCCACTGCTGATGGAACTACTACACCCGTCAAACGGATACCTGTGTATTCTGTTCCCTCGCTCCAGGTTCACCCAGGAGCTGTCCCTTTGTTCACCAGCCCGCAGAGCAGTGGCCTCACTTACGCCCTTCCAGCACTTACCCCCGGTGTTCCCCGTTTTTGATAGTTAAAAAAAATCTTCCTATTAAAATACACTTTCATGTTTTGAAGGGGATATGCTAGTTTTATTGGAAAAAACAGAAATATGGCTTTATATCAAAGTGGGCATGTAGTTTAATGTCGAGTGTTTGTAATATAATGTCTTTAGTTTTGGCTGTAGACTTTTTAGTTGTAGATAATTGATGGTTTAGGGAAAATACTGATGTTTCCTGGAGTTAAAAAAATAAAATAAAATTGTGGCTTATCACGGTTTTTTGTGATTGCGGCCACTACGTTTTATACATGTGTCTGAAGCCACTACAGACTGACCACAAGGGGGCAGTAGAGTTTTACTTTGAACTTCCAAACGCCCTACCTTGTATTAAAATCAACACAATTAAGTGGGGGGTTTTTTTTTTATACCTATATATTTGTCCATTTTGTGGTGTTTAATGCAGTTTTGCTGACCATTACAAAAGTCTTTATTACACTACAGAAGATACTCTAACAGAATGCATAGACAATGCTTTGTTAGGTTGTGAAAAATTTAATGTCTGTAAGTGGGAAAAATCAGACACAATTAATCATGCAAGATATCAGGTCTTTCATTTGTTCCCAGAGGTTGCAGAGTTGGTTGAGTTGGGCAATGAAATCTGTTTGCTTTTCTATTTTCAGCACACATGACCTGCACCTTGCTGAACCATAACCTAGCCGGCAATGTGATTAGCATGGTTAACACTGGAGGTTGTTTTTTTTTTTTTTTTTTTTTTTTAGAGAGGGAAAAAGACCATAACGTGAAAGCATGTGCCCTGTGCAGTCATGTCAGTAGCCAGCAATCAGGTCACTGAGGTCTGGGACTGAGAACCTCTCCTTTAGCCGAGCGCATGCTAAGGTCAGTTTGGACTTGTGAATTAGCGTCCACGTCAGGCAAGAGTTCTGGAATGGGCCAAAAGGGCAGGTGCAGCCCCTTGCATCTGCACTCTGAAAATGCATTACATTGCAGCAGGTGTCCATGTGTCAAGCTTTATACCTTTTAATGGAGGAAACTTGAGAAAAACAGTGTTTCGGTCACCGAAACATAATCAATGCAAGCAGCTTGCATACTTTTCAGTGCGGTAAGGAAAGAGATCCACCCTTTGCCATTATTCACCCTGACCCTGCAGCTTCAAACAGGCTGTGGGCTGCAGAGTGGATTTTAGTTCAGACATGTACAATAGAACATAAAAAGCAAAGAATCAGGGATTATGAGTGTCCTACTCTACATTGTTTTGACACAAACCGTGCAGTACAAATACTCAAGGGTACACAATCCTTGTACTAGTGATTGAAACTGAAGGTCAAGCAGGGACAGTATTTCAGTCTCCACCACCATGTCCTACTGTAAGGACACCAAGTCGTGCAGATTATGCAAGTCATGAGCCCAGGCAGGACGGGTGCTGCGTGACCCTCTCAAACGCGATGCTTCCAAACAGCTTTTTTTGGGAACAGGTGAAGCATGACTGTAAAAGGATGTGCAAGCAGTTGAGATTGCCAGAAATGTTTTGAGTTTTAACTGAAGAAAGCCCACATGGAACCATGAAGGTAGTGAAGGTGATGTTTTTATTTCGACATTTAGGTTTTTGCTGTAAACTATGACGGAACACAAGAATTGTGCAGATTCTTGACACAGCAAACATTTAATATCAGGTCAACAATAAAAAACTGCATCCTCTTCAAATGAAGAACATTTACGACATAGCCTTTAAAGTAAAACAGTAAACAAGTATTTGTCCTCTTCCTGATTTTGATTTAGTTTTTTGCATATTTGTCACAATTTTAAAATGAAAAAAGCGATCCAAACCTAACTGGCCCTGTGTTAAAAAGTACTGTCCCCCTGTTAAACGATGAATGATGAAATGATGATTAATCACATTTCTTGGAATGCAAGAAACCAATTTCACTGGAAAACACGCAGTCTTGATTGTTGCCAAATCTGATAGAACCTGTCTGACAAAGCATGACAAAAGATCTCAAAAAACAACACATCAAACTTGATCTAAACAAACTCAATAATTGACATCTATGAAAAGGGTTATAAAGCCTTTGGAACTCCAGTGAACCAGAGTGAGAGTCATTATTCACCAATTGAAAAAACTTGGAATGGTGGTGAATCTTCCTGGGATTAGCCGGCCTGCTAAATTACTCCAAGAGCACATTGAATACTCATCCATGAGGTCACAAAAGAAGCCAGGACAACACCTCAGTTAAGGTCAGTGCTCATGATTCATCAATAAGAAACAGACTGGGCAAAAAATAACAATAATGGGAGAATTCCATTATTTGGTTGCCAAAAAACATCTTGATGAACACCAAGACTCTTTACTTTGTGGAGAGACAAAAGCTGGAGGGTCTGGAGCTGCTTTGCTGCTTCAGGATGACTTGCAGTAATTGATGGTACCATGAATATCTGGCTATGGATTCATACCTTGAATGCCAAGAGCACCTTGGTCATGCAGCAGGAAAGTGATCTGAAACGCACCAGCAAGTCCACCTCTCAAGGGCTCAGCGCTAACAAAACAAAGGTTTTGGAGTGGCCTAGTCAAAGGCCAGATTTAAAAGCAATCAAAATGCTTTAATATGACCTTAAACAGATGTTCATGCCCCAAACCCTCCAATGTAGCTGCAAAGAAGAGTGGACCAGAATTCCTCCACAGCGATGTGAAACATCGGTGTCAGTTATCACAGATGTTGGATTGCAGTTCTTGCTGCCAAGGCTGGCGCAACCAGTTATTACTCTTCGGGTTCAATAAGTTAATGAAAGCGTCATTTCAAAATTGCATTTTTTTATTACTAAGGTTGCCTTTGTCTAATTTTTAAATGGGTATGTTGATATGAAACTTGAGAAATATCAAATAAAATACTCATCAGGAAGGGCATTATGTACTTTTTCACACCTTTGTATCTCCATCCTGAATCATCAGCTTGGCAAGAACTCTGTTTCAGGGCTTACGCAGCGCTTTTGAATTACAAACTTATCAGATGGACTGAATGATCAACTAATACCCCCTACTTGGGGAATTTCTAGCAGATATCATCGGAGCATGTGAGTCGAGGGCAAACTGAGGGAGGTCTGTCATGAGACAAGAATTTAGCGAACAGAGGCACAAGGAAGAGGAGTTGGCTGAGCTCAGCATTTGGCAGTGAATGCCCACAACAGAACCTCCACCCTGTGGGATTACTAGTGGACGACCTAGATTGCGACACAGTCCTCCATCTTTTTTTTTTTTTGCCCTCGCTCCCTCCTCTGACTGGTCAACAGAGATTACACTCAGAGAATGAGCCTGGCAGTCAGACAGAATCACTAAGCATGTGACTGAGTGACACACAGAGGGACGGGAGACAAAACAGCATTTCTCTTTCTTCACTGCCTCACATCTCTTCTCTAATTTATGCTTTGTGTTTTTAAGCTCCAGATTTTACAGCAAAAGACAAAGTTTCATATGAATATCAAACAAAAAAAACAAAACAAAACACAAAAGGAGTGGCAAGATTTGTTATAAGTGCACAGTGAGAGGAAACTGGAGCTCGTCAGCTCGTCGACTGTGAAAGATTAACTTGCAGGTTTCTGTTTACTGATTGAGTAAACTGGTTCAAGCTTTAATCCCCTGAACGCTATATCGTGCAGAGAATCCTCACCGGCATATTAAACTAGTACTGATACGTTGATCTCTGGGTGTCGAGGACTTCCTTACTTTACACTAACGTAACATATCGGATCACACACACATACCAATCCCACCAAGCTGTGAAGATTTGTTTCACTAACAAAACCAAACTGCATGTCTGTGTGTGTGAGGATGCACCGGATTAATCTCCACACGGTTTTTCTGCCGCTTGTTTACAAGTAGGCCAGGACACATGGCCGCTCCACTAGGGAAAAATGAGCTAATATTAGCCCTCATACATCCACATCCTCTCATAAGACTGCCTGCCTCTAGTGTATTACACAAATATTTTACTGTCATTATTGCTTAATGCCTTAGTTTTTCCATTAAAGACTACTAAACCTACTTAACTGGGCAGATCAGTCACACCATTCAAATGGCTCTGTAATAGTCAGCTGTTTGTTTTTATTTTGGGGTTTTTCACTGGTTTGTCTGTAATAGTGTGTCAAACTAATTTTTCACTGTGGGCCAACTACAACCCAAGCAGGTCGGACCAATCCATTTCACTTCAGCTCACTTTATTTCATTTATATAGCAACAAATCACAACTGTAACCTCAAAGCCAGCAAAACCCCCCTTTCTATAAGTTTAAAGACATTAACTAATTGCTGAGTTAATATTATTTTTTATTAGTTAATACTAGTTTCTCTAGATAATAAAGAAATGCTTCTTTAGTAAATGAAAGACATGTACCAGCACTATAGTGTTGTGAGAAATAATAAAAAATAAATAAATACAGAAATGTTATTGTTTTCTGTTACTTATTACTTCAGTGTAGTATCAATGTAGCAAAAGCTGTAAAAGAAAATACAGTGCAATGCAATGCAAAGGGGCCAGACTGGAGTTTTTGCAGGGTTGATTCTGGCCCCTGGGCCTTATTTTTGACACCCATGATTTATAATAATAAATCATATAGCATCTTTACATGAGATAGGCTGTTTCAAAGTTGAGGTTAGGTGAGGCTACATTACACCCCTGTCACTATCACTGATTTCACACGCGTGGGACTAAAAAATCCTCGAGGTTTGCGTCGCCTTTTCCTGGAGCTTCGCCCGTTTTCGAACCTCTCTGAAGTTTAGCAGAGAGCAGCTAATGAGTCCTCTGAACCTGCTCGTCGTCCCGACTAAGCAGCTACTGAGGTTTCCTGAAGGTGTGTCACTCTGACGTAAGAGGATAAATATGCACAACGTAGACATCCTTTCACAGCGCTGGGCAGTCACGTCGCACTCGTCTTCCTCGTCTGGGGTCACGCCTAGCTCCGCCCACAGCAGCTGGCGTCACCCTCGAAGCACTTTGTCATCCTGTCGGATCAGCCCGCGGAGATGCGCTGCAGACAGGGTAGAAAACAAAACAAAACACCCATATGCGGATATTTTGGTCATGCCCCTGTTTAACCTGTGACTGTTTGTTTATGTTGTGCACTGATTCTTGTGAAAGTGAAGCAAGCACAAGCTTTGTTTGTATGGACTACACAGAATTACGCAGACGTTTAAAAAGATGTAAACAATAGGCCTTAACCTACATTTTATTAAAATAAATATTCCTAATCTTTCGCTTTTCTGTGTGAATTGTGTGAAAAGCGGTGACCAAATGCAGTGTTTAGCACTACAGGAAGTTGTGAAAGTCTTAAGTAGTGCTTTATTTCTTGTCTTGAGCAATAGTTCTTCAGGATTTCTGAAGGTCTTTCAAAGTTTTTTATTTCGACATTGGCTGCCTTTCAGTCCCGTCCTTGTACCTGACCATTTCAGAGGTATGTTGTTTTTGTTTGGTAAGCCAATCGACCCTGACCTTTGAACCATTCAAGCATGAAAAGGGCACCCAACTCAAGGAACCAACCACCATTGTGATACACACGACAACATAACAAGCAAAAGACAA